CATCCCACCCCCCCGCTCCCGCCTCCCCGGCAGGTTCTGAGATGATCGAGACCCAGGAGGACATTTACGTGGGCTCCATCGAGACGGACCGGGGGGTGCGGGAGCAGGTGCGGTTCTACGACACGCGGGGGCTGCGGGACGGGCTGGAGCTGCCCAAGCATTGCTTCTCCTGCACCGACGGCTACGTGCTGGTCTACAGCACCGACAGCAAGGAGTCCTTCAAGCGGGTGGAGCTCCTCAAGAAAGAGATCGACAAGTCCAAAGACAAAAAAGAGGCGAGTACCCCCTGGGGGAAAGGGGCTGCGGAGCGGGATCTGCTCCCCGTCGTCAGGTTCTCACCCAGAAACACAGCTTGTCACAAGGTGGTGACAGGGGTCCCTGTTCCATAAGACTCTCAGGTGGACCTGGCTGCTGTCCCGGGATGATTCCTGAGTGTCCCCTTCCACTTTGGGGCTGGTTTGAGACACAGAGAAGAGGAGGGGAAGCCACCAGAAGGGAGCGCTGGAGGATGGGGTGTTTTAAGAGGCCATGGAGGGGGGATGTGATGCAGGAGTGGGCCTGGGCTGAGGGTCTTCATGGCAGAGTCGGGCAGCACCATTAAGCTCTGCCTTTGGTACCTTCAAGGATAATTCTCACTTTTTCTTGCACAGGTCACCATCGTGGTTCTGGGCAACAAGTGTGACCTGCAGGAGCAGCGCCGGGTGGACCACGACGCAGCCCAGCACTGGGCCAAGGGCGAGAAGGTGAAGCTGTGGGAGGTGTCGGTAGCCGACCGGCACACGCTCATCGAGCCCTTTATCTACCTGGCCAGTAAGATGACGCAGCCACAAAGCAAGTCTGCTTTTCCCCTGAGTCGCAAGAACAAGGGCAGTGGATCCATGGATGGCTGAGCCTTGTTTTCCCTTCCCTTCCATTGCCACCTCCTCTCCCTCACCTCCTTGCTTCCCTTGCACAAACCTCCTGCTGAGCCTCTTTGGCGTCACGGAGCCTGCGGGAAGCGTGGTGGCACGAGGATGGGGCATCCCAGGGCTGGGGATGGGCTTAGAGGGCGAGAGAGGTGACCCATCTCCCTGCACTGGGACAGGGACCGCTCTGTTCGGTGCCCAGCCCCTGCAGATGCTGGAGGTGCTGCTGGAAAGCCGGGCTTCATGGAGCAGTGTCCCTCTGCTCCCCGGGCACAGGCTGGCAGACTCCAGGGCCACAGGAGGGAGGCAGAGCCCCAGGGGTGGCCACCAGGTGGGGACCAGCTCCTGAGGAAACCATTCCCTCGCTCTGGAGGGTTTGTATTTACTGTTTCCATGTGGGAAGAGCCCGTTTGCTGGCCCTGCCTCCAGCCCAGGAGGCTCCCTTGTCCTGCCCCAGCCGGCCCTGCGGTGCTGCTGCCTTCTCCAGCAGAGCCTCCCTTACCGGGCACTGCTTGCTGCTCCTTTTTGAGCAGAAATAGTCATCCTGCACCAGGGACTGCACAGCACAGAGCTGGGCAAGATGCTGTTACTGAGGGCAGGGTGTCCCCAGCCATCCTGCCACTGCCTCCTCTTCTCAAGTACAGACTTGGCCGTGCCCTTGGGGAGGCCAGGACTGTCCTTACCCCACACACCCCTGGGGCTGGGGCAGCTCTCGCTGCCCGTCTCACACAGTGCTGCCTCTCCTCTTGGAACCACCACGAGACAAGGGGAAGGTCTCCTGGTCCTGCCCAGCAGCACGTGTCCCCCTTCAGCTAGTCTGGATCTGGGAAAAAAAAAAAACATTACGAGAAAGCCCTGGCTTGTTTATACTTGTTCCTTTTATTTACCGAGTAACACAATAAAGCGATGAGATTCGATTATCAAAATATTTTCCTTTTTTTTTTTTTTTTCCCAACAGTTATAGTACATCAAAAAAATATACAATGAACATTACAGGAGGAGTACTGGCCAAGTCCCTAGAGTCTGGTTATTCCGTTTTTGTGGGGTTGGTGTGTTGTGGTTTTGTTGTTTTTTCTTCTTGAATCAAACTGTTCACATCACTCCAAGGTTATTTACAGAGGGGCACACGTTATTGAGCGCTATGGACTATGCCCTACCACCTAGTACAGCGGGTGCTAAAGTCAAAAAGGCAGTAAATGCTTTGGAGA